CCAATATAGATCTATATACAAGTATCACGTTCTCCCTCAAGGAGATTCTGATTATAACTACCAGGAATTATATCCCGCACTCGGACGTACGGGGAGAGAGAGAGAGAGAGAGAGAGAGAGAGAGAGAGAGTCTCACAATATAGGTTAACAAGTTTACGTGAAATGTGTGTGAATATAAATCTTTCTTGTATGAATGTACCCTTCTTGTACGAGTGTGTTGAGTGATGTATCATAAACTATACCTATTATAGTTTATCTAAAATGTATGTAATATGTATGAACTCTTTTATGGAAATGTATTAATGTTATGAATTTATCAAACTATAGGTTAACAAATTTACGTGAAATGTGTGTGAATATAACTCTTTCTTGTATGAATGTACCCTTTTTGTACGAGTGTGTTGAGTGATGTATCATAAACTATACCTATTATAATTTATCTAAAATGTATGTAATATGTATGAACTCTTTTATGGAAATGTATTAGTGTTATGAATTTATCAAACTATACTTTTTATAGTTTAATGTACGTGTTCTAAAATGAATGAATAAATTTATTATGAATCACTTAGTTTCAGTTCATGATGATAAACTAACAAGGAAACACATTCAATAATTAGAACTCATGATTATACACTTTGCTCAACATAATACAAAGTGTTATGATATTTACATGTTGTTGGCTAACTTTAGCCATTCTGCCATGTTTTGGAAAAATCATAGAAAAATCATACGAAGTTGAAAACTAAATCCGTAAATTCTGAGAGTTCACAAAATGTGTCTAGTTTACTCATAATTTTTATCACGATTTTTAAGGACCTCCAACGTGGGTGAATAAGTCCAAAATCACAGACTGGTCCGGATTGTTGTTTGAAATGATAGGCAGTTTTGTAAAAATCACCATAAATTGTAGAAAAATTGTATGGAGATGTGCAAGTAGTCATTTTAAAGCTAAAAACTTGAACTATTTTCACCTTGTACAGTTTTGAAAACAAAAATGTTTAAGATGCCCAAAACAGTCCGTGAATGGAGTTGAACTTTTCTGATGAAGGCTGTTAGAAAATTTTAGTTATGTTCTTGGTGTTTTAACTTGTATTCCCCCCCCTGAAAACTTGAGAAAACATGAAAATGTAGGGGTATGAACTCACCTTGAGTGATTTCAGTAGATAAGTGTTGAAGAAGAGAAGTGTTCAAGCCAAGAACACTTGAAGAATCACTTGAAGATTCGAAGCTCTAACACAAATATGATGGAGTTTGTGTAAGATATCCATGATTTGAGTGGAAATAAGTGAGATAATCATAAGGAGAATGGATTATGCTTACAAAATGTGGAAGAACACTTGATAATCAGCCTTGAATCTCAAGTTTGGTGGAGAAAAAGTTTGAGAGAAAAGTGGTGTTTGATACTTAGTGAAATGAGAGCAAATGAGAGAAATGAGGAGAGATGATGTTTGTTCCAGCTCTAAAAACGTGGGAATGAGTGTAATTTGAGTGTAAGGGACATTGAAGTGACTTAGGTAAGGTGGGGAGGTGTGGTTAGTCAAAGAGTGGGTGTGGGGTGGTTGCTTGTGACATTGGATAAGGCAAAGTCAACACTCCACCTTTAATAATTCACCCATTTGATTTTTATTATTAAAATAATGATTTTCATCAAAATATGTTTAAATTATGAATATTTTGAGTTTATTATGTTAAAATATAATTTCTGGAGAAAATCCCGCTTTAAAATCACGAAAAACGGGCTTAAAATGTTAAAAATATCAAAAATGGGCTAAAAGTGACAAATTTCCGAATTCTGGCCGAGGTTCGGCCTTCTGATGCTGAAACCGAGAGGAGGGAGGGTAGAAACCGAGAGGGAAGAAGAGGGAGAGTAGGAACCGAGAGGGGAGAAGAGAGAGGGTAGGAACCGAGAGGGGGGAGGAGAGAACAGAGAGGCGGAGTAGAGACCGAGAGGAGGGAAGAGACAGAGAGGCGGAGTAGAGACCGAGAGGAAGCAAGAGACAGAGAGGCGGAGTAGAGACCGAGAGGAAGGAAGAGAGAGTAGAGACCGAGAGGCGGGTAGAGACAGAGAGTGAAGAAGCGACAGAGAGGAGAGGAAGCAACAGAGAGGCGGAAGGCGAACAGAGAGTGCGAGAAGCGAACAGAGGCAGAGGCTCGGTCTCAGCTACAGGGGCTCGGTACTCCGGATTCAGCCAACAGAGGCTCTGTTCGGTCCTGGGGACTTTTTGGTTCCTAGTCTCGGCCTTAAGGAGCTTCGGCTCCTTAAGAAGGGTTTCGGTTCCTAAGGTCCTGTTTTCTCGTTTTTACCCCGTTTTAAGCCGTTTTTTACCCGGTTAAGGGTCGGAATGACCCGAATGATTCCAAAAAGTTACGGGAAACTTTTGAGAGAGATTTGGGAGAGATTTCTCACACTTGGAGAGATTTGGGAGAGATTTGACATTCTTGGAGAGATTTCTCATACACAGAGATATTTGCGAGAGTTTTCACATACTTGGAGAGATTTGGGAGAGATTTGACATTCTTGGAGAGATTTCTCATACAGAGAGATATTTGAGAGAGATTTCACATACTTGGAGAGATTTGGGAGAGATTTGACATTCTTGGAGAGATTTCTCGTACAGAGAGATATTTGGGAGAGATTTCACATACTTAGAGGGATTTGGGAGAGATTCGACATTCTTGGAGAGATTTCTAATACAGAGAGATATTTGAGAGAGATTTCATATACTTGGAGAGATTTGGGAGAGATTTGACATAGAGAGATAGAGTGAAAACGATTGAGAGAGGTTCCATGTGTGACAATTGTGAGTGTCCGGCATCGCAATGCATGGTTCGTAAACCCTGTTAAGCCTTGTTTAAGGATCTTACACACTCCCGATGAGTATGCATCATTATTTTATCGGTTTGGCTCGCCACGTACCACAGTTTTAGGTTAAGGAGATCTAGATGTTCGCACTTTTTGCTTTATGATTTCTCATTAGAATAGGGAGTTATGTAGAAGTTTCATAGTGTAAATTTTAGTACCCAAGGGCAAATTGAGTCAAACGGTTTGACTTGCTGACTTTAGTTGACTTTGACTTGACCGAAATTTGACGGTTGTCACACTCCGCCCCTTGGACCCTGCTAGGGGTGTTGCCCCTAGACCCTGCCAAAGGGGTGCTACCCCCGACTAGTCGTCGAACCGGCTTCTAATTCGATCTTATACATGTGTGTACTCCGCACAACCCTCGTACATATATTAAAATACAAATTATGAAGCCCCTTAGTTCACATGTTAGTTCCAGTTACTTAAAATGACATGGTGACACAAAAATCGCCAACAATAAGTTGGTTTTCATTGGGCCTCATTGGTTGTTACAGAGAAATTTAAAGTGGATTTCCATAACCAGGAACTCTTGGTAGGTTATATAGCTATTTCTTGCAATTAAACCATTTTGAAGTGAAACCAAAACTTGGACCACATACACACTACCACAAATATCGGTTTTAAGATCTTTTACCATTGTCTTTATCTATAACATAAAATTACATATGATAACAAAGATTAAACACATTTTTTCTCAAGAACTTCTTTTTCTTCACAACAAAAGCAAAATATTTTAACTAACTCGGATGATAAACAACAAGTGTTGACGAACCGTAGCAACATGATCCTTATTTTTTTTAAGTAATTCAACCAACAAAAACAGTAAAAACAAAGAGAAAATTTGTCAAACGCGAAAACTAAGAAATTCTTCAATAAACACAAAAGTCATCAAGATAATAAACCAATCAAGACTCTTACAATGAGGCTCTGATTCCAATTGTTAGACACATTTACACAATTGGTTTGTACGGAATATGAATATATGTAAAACTGATAAAAATATGATTCAACTGATAAAGTTATACATCGAGAGATATAAAATATTACAACGAAGAACTCTTATGGCTATGAGAATATCCAAACCGCACTCTTTAACTAATATCTATATGGTGCACACATAATAAATAACCACACCTCCGTTTTATATACAAATTGAGGGAATACCTAACTATCACTCACTAATATAGACCATTTCCTCTTCCAATACACCAACTTATATAGACTTATGTCTACTTTAGAGACAAAATAATTAAAATAAAGTTGCAAAAAGGTTCTCAAGACACCTATATAATCGATTTCCTTGAAAGAAACAACACACAGAAAAGGTCTGGTAAACTACGCTTTTTGATGGGTCCTTAAGCAAGTGTTATAGCTAACCAGTTTAAGCGGTCAGGCTTTATAGAACTTTATAGAACGAGAATCGTGTTTATTATTACCATATATTTATAATGGGCCTCTATTTAGTGATTTAGTTATAGGCTTTTTATTCTTTAGATTTGGCATAACTATGTCCAATTCATAATTTATTTTTCCTTTCATTGTAATCAAATTTTTCATTAATAATAAAGTCTTTGGATCTCAAATATATTCCTCAACCTTTCACTTCAAGACACCACACCACCACCAATCAACTTTGTTGTAAAAATCATTCGTCATTAGCTCGCTGGTAGTTTACTGGGGTTTAAAAAATTAATCGGTTAAACGAGAATTAATCAAGGGATTAATTAGAAACCATAAATTGTTAATTCTTTAAATTTAAAAAAATTAAATATGAGATCATAATAAAGTTCATCAATATCATTAATATCATAACAAAATAGATTAATATAATTTTAATCATTCTTTAAATAGTTTCTGTTAAGATAGATATTGTGTTCAAATTTTATCATTTGGTACTGCTTAGCTCATTGTGTAGACAATGATTAATTATTAAGCGCCTTAGACTAATCAGAGATAGTTTGACATACAATATTATGTATAAAGAACATGATCAAACTATAGACCAAACATCGATTCATTCACATCTTAATGATTCAATTATATGATTATACTAGTATCAGAAAAAAGATAAACGATTTCATTTCATTTCATGTACGTTCTATATATCAACAACTACAAAAAAAAAAAAAAAAAAAGTGATGATCAAAACCATGTGCTTACATATCATCCGCAAAATCATCAAAGAGTTCATTTAACTGTTCATCTGTCCAAACCGGTATTGAACCACTAACCATGGTTGGTTCAACTTGAACTTGACTCGGATCCATTCCCTTTAGCCCGTTTCCAAAACCCGGATTTTCATTTAAACCACTTTTTAAAACATTTGATTCTTTTAAGATTTCCGTGAAGTGGGGCCCAGTTGACACACTATTAGCACTTGTTTTGTTGGTTACATTTGCCATCTTTTTTGCTATTTGGTCAAGAGAAAATGTGGGACCCGATGTTGTTGTCGTCGTCTCCTGTCCGTGATCTTGTAATGAAGGATTAGTAAAGTTGTGGTTAAGATGTTTTATTACTATGAATTAATATAATTATAAAAATGAAAAATTACAAAAAGACCAATTTTACTAGCAACTTTTTTTTAACCTTTTAAAACTAAACATTTTTCCTTGTTGCGTGATTCCTTGTATCATGTAACAATACAAGAAAACACAACATATGTCTATCGTTTTATCAATTTAGCAACCAAACTTTGTTTCTCATCAATTTAGCCACTAAATTGATAAAGGTGAAACTATGTTTGAGGAAATAATATAATAAATTAATAATAACTCACCAGAAAAAGGAGATGCATCAATTATGATAGTATTACATTTTCCATGAAATGTTTGTTTTTCTGAAACTACATTATCATCCATGTGAAATACCTTCAAAATAAAATGAGTAATCAATCATTCACTATAACATTGCTATTTGACAACTTACTTATACTTATTGACTTCCATTTTTTTTATTCAACTCTAATTTCAAATAAAATATTCTTATCAAGACATTGCGCCAATTATATAATCAAATTTACAATTTTTTGCTTATTATTGAGTTTGAGCAATCTATCCAATTATACTCTTTTTTGGTTTGATTTTTTAAAAGCATCAAATATTCAAACGGAATTTAAGAACAATAAAACAAAATTTACAAAAACGCTTACCTTTTGCCAAATTCCTCTTTGTAATGTTAAGATTTGATTCTTTCAAGGTTTCTGTGGACTTGGGCCCACTTGACGCAAATGGGCTTACATTTTCTTGCGAATTTTGTTGACTATAAGTAGTTGTTTTGTTTACATTTGTCATGTTTTTTGCGATTTGTTCAAGAGAAGATGTGGGGCCCGATATTGTTGTTGTTGCACCCTGTTTAGGATCTTGTAAAGGAAGAATGAGTAAAGTTGTGGTTAGAGATTTTATAAAAACTTTAGTAACATGAATATAATAAAGAATTAATATTGACTATAAAATTAGTGGGTTTGGTATTGGGTAAATGGGTCGAAAAAAAGATTTTATATTTTTCCTGAAAAGCCCTTATATTTTTTTCATTTTTCCAAAAAAGAAACCTCAAACTTTTTGATTTTTTCTGATAAAACCCTCAGCCTTTGAACTTTTTCCAAAAAAACCCTCACATTTGACAAAAAAAAAACTACTAGAAGGGCAAAATCAAAGAAGAAAAAAAGTTTATGTTTAATCCGGAAAAACACAATATAAAAGGTCTTTTACGATATTAACCCTTTAAAAAAAAAGGTGAATGTATGAAAAGTGGTTTTCTTGAGATGTAAAGATGTTTGAGGGAATAACATAAGGGACTTAATTGAATACAAGGTCAAAATGTAGGGACTTAATTGAATATGAGGTCAAAATGTAGGGACTTAATTGAATGTGAGGTCAAAAATCAAAATGTAGGGACTAATCTAAAAAAGTGTCCACAATTGAATAATTTAACCGGTAGTGAGGACTTAATCAGAAAATAAATCAATATAGGGGCTTAATTGAATATGAGGTCAAAATGTAGGGACTTAACTGAATATGGTCAAAATGTAGGGACTTAATTGAGTATGAGTTCAAAATGTAGGGACTTAATTGAATGTGAGGTCAAAATGTAGCAACTAATCTAAAAAATTGTCCACAATTGAATAATTTAACGGGTATTCAGGACTTAATCAGAAAATAAATAAATATAGGGGACTTAATTGAATATAAGGTCAAAATGTAGAGACTTTAAGGGAAATTTCCCAAGAACATAGCAACTCACCAGAAGCATGAGATCTATCTATGACTTTACATCCATGAAATGTCTGTGTTTGTGAAGATCCATTATCCTTGTAAAATACCTGTAAATAGAACTAATTATTAATTATCATTCAATATAACATAAAGTTTTAAGTGTTTTAATCAAGTGAATGCTTTCATTGACAAAAGAATGAACCACAAGAAATCATACATTCATACTCAATGAATTATGTTCAAAGATACTAGAGAAAAATGTGTACCTTTACCAAATTCCTCTTTGTAATGTTAAGATAATGAGAGGATCTTGAAGGAGAAAACACAGAAACCTAGATAACAAAAAACTGGTGTAAATTTAAGAAGATTTTAAAAACTAGAATTTGATTTTGTGAAGATATGGATAGCTTATAGCTATAAACATAACAATTAACAACATACCTTATGAAGTATCAAAACAGATCCTACAAAAATACCCTTTCCAAACTCCCCTTCTGTTAGCACTTTGTGATGAATAGTACCAGAAACTACACCTGTAGGATCCTGAAGCTTTACAAATAAGTAACTAGAACTTAACTTAATATACTTACATAATCATAATATGGCATGTTAAGATTCTTACTTTTAGTGTTACTTTCAGATCACCTAGCTCATTTGAAGTACAAGACTTGATAACAGCAACAACCTGTTGTATACCAACTACATGTTATTCAAGTCTACAAGGGTGAATCGAGTAAAAGATGAAGATCAAAATCAAAGAGGGGTGTCTAAATTGCAACAGGTTAGAGAAGATCGATCAATCTGTCAAGTGACTACAAATTGGTAATGTTTTTCTTCACTAATCAAGAAATTATAGCTCATGAAGAGTTTTAGTTTATACACATCCTGTCAGTTTGATATAATTTGTTGTCGAAACCCTAATTGTGTTCAAGTGAGTTAAGGAATACATTCATCGTGATACCTGATGAAGTTTTCCGTTTTTCAGATACTTGTTTATATCGCCCAAAGGTGCATTCGGGATGGAATTGAACATACCTTCAGTCAAAAGAATAAACACGCATAAATAAGTATCAAATGTCTAGATTTTGACAAGTTAAATAATAGAAGAATGAACGCAATTGATTGTTACTCTACCATCAGCATAGACAAATTCGATTGCAGAAAGCCATGGACTACCCTGAAAATCGTCATCCTCCTCTGGATTTTCAACCACTCTTCTTATATACTCCTGTGTGGCCATTGGATGCTCCTCCTGGCCTAATATATTTTCCATATCTCGAGTTTTACGGAGCTTCGCAGCCTGAACAACGCCAGCAGGGCCTGGAATTGCACGAACATAAGGCGGTGCTTCAGCCTGACATGCGGAAGTGATGTTTTGAGGAACAGAGTTAATGGCTTCAGATGGCGACTTTGAGGAATCTAGGGTTTGAGATTGGGAAAGATGGGTATTGATGGAGGGTTTTGATTCATCATGGCGGCGCTGCTGCTTGCACGGGCGGAGAAGGGTCAGTGATTGGAGATCGGAGTCGTCTGCATCAAGAGCTTCTTCCCACGGAGGCTCCATTTTCCATGGGTGTTGCTGGTATAGTTACCGGTTAAATGTTGTTTGATGTGATTGTTGATATAAAAGGCGGGAAACCACAAAAAGAAATATTCATTCGCCAGAAAATCATCAAACTTCTTTCATAAGCTTTATTTATTTTAGAGTATTAAGTTGTTGTTTATTTGTTTATTAATAAGCATTCTAAGGTGCTATTTGTCTTTTAAGTCAAAATGTCTGCAGTCTGCGGACCATATCTACAAGCCTCTGCGGCAGAAGAGATGGACCAAATATCTGCAATCTGCAATAAAAAGACTGTTTTTTTTGTTTACGTTAAAATGAGGTCTGAAAACCTTTGAAGACAGTAGTCCATGACTGCGTCAGGAAGATCTCGCGCAGACGTTTTCTGACATGCGCGGCCCAGACAAAAGTGATTGCGCAGATCTTCACACAAAAAACAAACAGTCCCTAAGTGTTTGGCAAACAAAACAGTTTATATAAGTAAAATGACTAATAAGCAATAAGGAATTAGCATTCCCCCATTGCTTATTAAAATCAGCTTATTTGTCTTATTCTTACCGCAATAAGCTGATTTTTAAATACTCATATTTAAACATAATTAAATTTGCTTATTGCAGTGGGATTAAGCAATAAGTTGTAAACAACCTATTTTTTTTCCCTATCCAAACACCTTCTATGGATCAGGTTATAACACCAAATTCATATGTCACTTCAACTATAACATTAAGGGGGAAATGGTGTTCCTCATGTTATATCATGTTAAGAGGTAGAGAGAGAAATAAAGAAAATGATTTGATTGGGTGGTAAAGGCAACAACATTAAACTTCACGTTGCATATTGTCTTGGTCACAATGAGATATGTCATAACACCCTCTTAACAAGAAAGGGGTGGTGTTCATCTTATTATGACTAGGTTATGAGAAGCCAAATCAGCAAAAATATAACTTCTTATTGCCTATACCGTATGCTCTTAGGGGATAATGACACGGAAATGTAACTAATTTTTATTAATTGTATGTATGTATTAGGTCATTGAATTATTTTTGTTTTTTTGTTATTTATCAACGACCTTTCTAAAATCATTTAAATGTTACCATTATTGCTAATCATAGAGGATTTGTCCATATGTTCAAATATTAGAGGATTTTGTCCATATGTTATTATATATTACTTAGAATCTATTCTAATAAATGAATGTTTTTTTGTGATATGTAATACTCCTATTCAATTTGTCAAATGTCATTTTGTGATTATTTTGAATTAATTTTTTTTTCATGTATCATTTTATGGGTTTTTTCTATTTTAATAAATTCCACATAATACTTTAATATAATTATTACAATAAATATAATAATAAATGAATGTCAATTTTATTAATGGACTTATCTTCTTATATAAAAATTTCCAAATTAAAACTCATTAGTTTATTTTGTTTATTTATTTAAATTTAAAATATAAAAAATCAATTTTAATAATTTATTATTTTTCTTATGTTCTTATAAATCTAATGTTCTTTAATATTTAGACTTTTATATTTTTTTTTTTAATTAACACATGTAATACATGAGTCTTACACCTAGTAACAAATACATAAATAAGGGTTAATGCTCTTCATATAAGGATCATTTCAAAAGGATTGTTTTATAGCCTTAATTTTCAACAATCGGGGTACACATACAATGTCATACTCTTCATTATGTTATCATCAACAGCAACAACTGACGTATGAAAACCATGTGATTGTAGATTTCCATCCTGTATTCAAACATCAAGAACATATTTAAACCCCAGAAGACGGTTCGTGGTGAGTGATGAAAAAAAATGTTTTTTTTAGAAATGGATTGATCGCAAACCAGTTCAACCGGAAGTTCCTATAAGATAAAAGATGAAGGAAATGAAGCTATATTGGAAGAAATGAAGAAAAAAAGTTGATATTGATGCTTTGGTTATGAGGAAATAGATTGAGGAAATGAAGAAAAAATGATTTTGATGGTGTGGG